AACCATCTATCCATCCATCCATCCATCCACCCACCCACCCATCCAACCATCCATCCGTCATCCATCCACCCATCCATCCATCCATCCATCATCCACCTATACATACATTCATCCATCCATCCATTTGCCTACCCAGTTTTCACCCTCCAGCCATCCATCACTCATCCATCAGTCCACCCACACATTAGCCCATTGATGCATCTACCCATCCCCCCATCTACACCCGCATCCATTATCTATCATTCTCTTCTTCCTCTATTTCATTCACTTATCTTCTCATTCATTTATTCCCCTTCATGCAGCTATCCACTCATGTAACTGCTTATCTACCCATCCATTCATCCACCCTCTCATCCATCCATCCATCCACCCACCCATACATCTACTCTCTCATCCATCCATCCATCCATTCATCCACCCATACATCTACTCTCTCATCCATCCATCCACTCATCCATCCTCTCATCCATCCATCCACCCATACATCCACTCTCTCATCCATCCATCCATCCATCCATCCATCCATCCATCCATCCTCTCATCCATCCATCCACCCATACATCCACCCTCTCATCCATCCATCCATCCACCCATCCACCCATCCATCCATCCATCCACCCATCCACCCATCCATCCATCCATCCATCCATCCATCCATCCATCCATCCATCCTCTCATCCATCCATCCATCCATCCATCCATCCATCCATCCATCCTCTCATCCATCCATCCACCCATCCATCCATCCATCCATTACTCATCCATCCATTCCTCCATCCACTCACCCACCCACCTATCCATCCATCCGTCCATCCTCTCATCTGTCTATCCATCCATCCTCTCACTCGTCCACCGGTCCACCCCTGGGGCAGTTGAGTCCCTGTCTCTGCCTTTGTGGAGTGGAAATAACAAGGCTGCCTCGTCAGGGCTGTTTTGAGGCTTCAACAGAGCTACTTTTGTAGAACCCTCGTCACAGGCCTGGCACCGGTGGGTGTCCGTTCAGTGGGAGCGACTCTGTTTCTTATTGGGGTCCGGGGCCTTTGTGTCCCTCCAGTAAAGAGGCCAAGAAGGGGAAGAAACAGAAGAAGGAGAAGAAGCCCAAGAAGAGAGGAGAGAACAACGTGGGCCTGGAGGTGGAGGAGAAGGAGGGGCCCAGCGATGACGAGAAAACCAAGAACACAGCCATGTGAAGACTGCCCACTCGCCTCCTCCAGGCAGCCCCCCGGAGATGCCCCTTCCCCACCCTCTCAGCAGTGACCTGGACCTGAAGCCACCAAGATGACTCCCTCTGGGGTTGAGAAGGCAGCGCCCACCCCTCAAGGAGAGCTCTCTGCGCCTCGCATGGTCCTTATGCATCCTCCTTCCTAATTTGTCCTGCCTGGTGATTCTTCTTGCACTTGGAGAGCGTTCCTGGTTACGGAGAAACCCCCAAACCCCCACAATCTCATGGCCTCAGCTGCTTCAACCCGCTGCCTGACTTCTTTTCCCTCCACCTGCTATCTATTGGCCAGAACCTCCTCCCTCCCACGCAGCCTCAGGACCAATACTGGCCAGGGGCTCGGGACCTGCATTAAAGAATTGATGAGCCCTCCAGGGGCGCTCCTGTCATCTTTTGGGACTCAGTTTCCCCGGGGGGGAGGCAGCTTTTGGGGTTGGGGGCGATGCCCAGGCAGGTGTGGAAGATCCAGCCGGGCCAAGGCCCAGATGCCCCGAGGAGATTAAACGCGCCCTGGGCAATCTTGATTTTGCTGCGCTGAGCCCTGGACTTTGAGCCCCGAGGGCCGTCTCCTGGGAAGTCCTTGCCCCTCCACCCCCGTGTTTTGGGTCACGTGACTCCGTTCCTGGGACCGGGGTCTGGAGGGTGGGGCGCCCAGGGCCCTTCACTATCTGGGGACCGGACAGCACTCTCTCCTCCCTGTTTCCAGCCTCCCCCCTTCTCCTCACTTTCTCCAGGGCCCTGGACCTTACCCTGGACGGTAACTATTTCTTAAGGAGGACTTTGATAAAGGCTGGCGTCTGGGGCTCCGTTCCGCGCCCAGAGCCGGGGCTGGGGCTCCAGCCCAGAAGGCGGGGGGGCTTCTGTCCGAGGACACTTCCAGGATCGTCCACCAGGGGGCGGAAAAACCATAAATAAACTAAACGTGATAAACGCCCTAATCGATGTGCGCTGTGTGCCGTCTTTATCCTCTCAGTCTCCATCGGTACCTAATTCGTCCCATTTTCCAGCTGAAAATACTGAGGCTTAGAAAGAGGGGAGCCACTGGCCTGGTCTCCCGGCTGTTGTTGGCAGAGCCAGCACAGAGGGCCAGGCTGCCCAAAGGATGGGGGCGCTTGCAGGCTCTGGCTAAGGTCACGTTTGGAGGTTCGCGTCCTCAGGATGGTGGGAGAGCGCTGGGGTGGGGGGTGTTCTTTCCCGTCCGTGGTTCCTAGCTGGGAGAGCTGTGTTCCTCTGCAGTGCTGTGTGGCCCCGGGGAGGTGGCCTGACCTCTCTGAGCCTCGAGTTGGCTCCTCTTCTGCAACGTGAGGACCCGAGTTTGAGGCTTGAAGGAGGCACTGAAGGGCCACTGCAAGGCCTGGCGCCTAGTTGGTGCTCAGGGAATGAACCCCCCCCCCCCGTTTCCTGAGCCTCCCCCTCCCACGGCTCTGGAGTGAGGGGTCAGGGTGGACCTCGGGGAGACAGGGCGCTGGGATGCTCGGGAACCCGGGGAAGGGGGCCCACCCCCCACTTCCTGCGGCACCGGCCACGCCCTGCCCTGGGGTGCCCTGGGCAGGCCACTTCCTCCTCCGGCGGGGGCTGCACCCCAGAACCTGCTGGACGGGGGCGAGGACGGACGCACCCGATGGACAGATTCTGGACGACCCCCGGCCGGCTCTCCCTTCTGGCCGCTCTGGTCGCGCGGCCCGTTCAGGCCCAGCCCCGTAAGGCCTCGGAGGAGGGGGGGCGGGAAGGGGGCCCCCGCCCCGCGCCAGGCCGCTGACCCGCCCTGCCCCGCCCGCAGTGGCCCAGCGGAAGCCCGGGCTGGTGGGGCTGGGGGCCGCGCTGGCCTGCCTCTTCCTCCTCTTCGTCCTCGCCCTGGCCCACGCCATCTGGTGCCGCGGGTCCCGCGACAGGTGGGTGCCCCCCTGGCTGAGCCCCTCCCCCGTCCGACCTGCCGCCCCCTCTCGGAGCCTCCCCCCTAAACCTCTCCCCTCGGAGCCCCGCCCCCTCTACGAGCCTCGCCCCTCTCAGAGCCCCCCCGCCTAGCCCCTGCCCCCAAAAGCTCTCTCCTTGGAGTCCTTCCCCCAACCAGCTCCCCTCGGAGCCCTCCCTATAAGCCCTGCCCCCTCGGAGCATCCCCCCAAACCTCTCTCCTGGGAGCCCTTTCCCCTAAGCCCCGCCCC